GATGAGTTGTAATAGAAGAAATGTAAGTATTTAAATTTATAATCAGATTTATTAAACTGAATGGGATTGCTGTGTCCTTAAGTTGCATTTTAAAAGTAATTTGATAGTTTTCAGCAGTGTATATCAGGGTATGTCCACCCTTGTTGATTCAGAACTTTAGAACAGGGTGATGCTGCAGATAAATGTAAACTAGCTTTGGTAACAAAACCTCTGTAGTGTCAGGTGCATGGAGCTCGCTGAAACCACAGAAAGACCTTGGCGTTGCAGAGAAGATATTCTGAACACTGCCTGCAACAGCATGTTGTGTCTATTTGCACTGTTAAACAAAGAGGAGAAAGCATCTCTGCTTCTGGCTTTCTTTTTCCTTGTTTAAGAGTATTTTTATTTTTATTTTAATTTTTCTTGCAAAACAATACTTGCAACTTTTAGTTTTCCTTTGCGTAGTCATAGACTCATGGATATTAAAGAAGAGTCACTTACTTCACCTCTACATATAAAGTTTCCAATTGCTAATAGTTGGAAAAAGCATTAGCAATTGCTAAAAATTCGAGATTCTGGAACAGTCACCTGCCAGGCAGCTAACCTCAGGGTGTACTGCCTTGATCTGAGCAGGCACAGCTTCCCAATACTACAGTTCCTAAAGACTTCTCCCTCACCTGTCATTATTGAAGGGCTATGGTCCTGAATTCAGCAACCAATACTGCAATTCCCATACACACGACCACAGACAAAGTCTGACAGTCATTAATATACATGAGCTCTAAGATTTATCCTCCGGTTGACCTAAACACATCTCTACCTGTTGCGCATCAGGAATCTGACAGTCTCATTCCCTAGAAGAGTTCTGAGGAGTTCAGCAAGTTCAGTCACTCACAGCTGCAAATGATTTTCATAATTGTACAATGGAGATAGTCACAGGAGACATCAGTTGTCACGTTCCCGCTCCACTGTGGGGATTTAAAGAAGAATGAAGAATTTCTAGAAAGGGTAACCTAGACACAAAACCAGCAGGAAGCCAAAAGCTGAAAATGTAATTGGAGCCTGAGTCTTATTTCAGTTTTCAGTGTATGGATTTGTCTTCCTGTGTTATTGGGTCCTATTTTCCCCCTTAAACTGTTTCACATTCTAGCTGCACTCTCCTTATCATTCCCCTCCCTTTCATCTTCATGGGGGAGAAATAAAAAACAAAATGCATACAACTGTGGAACTAATATAGATTGGTATTTTTAGTATTCCAGGACTAAAGTTTTGGCCTGTGTAGCTTAAGTAGTTGTTGTGTACCCGTCTTTGCAAACAGCTGTTTAAATAGCACAGCATTCAGGTGGTCTGTAATGAAGGCTGTGAACCCTCAGATATCAACAACTAGGCTACTGGCTGACATTATTTCAGCTACTCATTTTGTAGTTGCTGTAAACAAATCTAAAATAAACACATATCACCACCAGCTCTAGTCACCCTCCTCATGTTATTCAAATGACAGAAAGCTATAGAGTCTGATTTTTTTTTTAAACACCTCTGTAACAGTCTGTACACATCAGCTAAAAAATGGTACTTACAAGTGTGACATTCAGTACTCCCATCTAACATTTGGAAAAATTGAGATAAAGGCAAAATTACTTTTTCAGGATTATAGAGCAAATATGCTGTTCCAGTGATGGCCGTGAACGCTCCATTCTTTTGAATGCTCCACCCCAAGTATCACAAACTGACCATCCAGATGACAACACATGAATTTTTTACAGCTGTAATAAACACCTGAATTCAAATTAGTTCACATCTCAAGTTTCAGACCAGTAGTGCTACAGTCAAAGGCTTTAATTAGGAAACAAATTTTTCTAAGTTTTTGAAATAGGCTGCTGAGCCAGCACTGTATAAAAGCTTGTCTTAGGCTAAATGAGATGAAAACATAGTAATTTGTGCCTCCCTATGCTGTACAGTAACCTTACCCCTAAATTTCACTCTCTGTTTCTGCGTATAGACCATGTTTGACTGCGTGAATCTGTCCCAGAGTCCCACATACTCCTGAATTCAGAAAGTCTGGTCAGAGAACAACTGCTGCTCCTTGCAAGTTGTACATGCAGGTCTCTCTTCACCATTTGCTGCTCTTGGCAAATGGAGCCCTGGTTTGACCACCCCCCCAGTGGCCCACTAGCAAAATTTGTCTTGCACCAGTGAGCTACCTTTTTCTGACAGCATCAAGGGGCTGGATGAACTTTTTGGGAGGCAGTAAAACCAGCTGCCAATTATCTTTCCTAAAAAAACCAACCAACTTGCAGACCTTCACTTCATCTGATGGCCAATCCACAGCTCAGTCCTTGCACAGTTCTTATCATCCTCCAGAAAAGTGGATAGGCCTGGGTTTTCTGGACATAAACAGACTGTTTACCTTAAAGGTGTCATGGCTAGGCTTTGCGAACGAAGGTTTGGGGACCTTAAAGGTGTATTAATATCTAAATTGACAAGGTATCACAAGGGTTCACAGCACACAGGCCTTTTCTTCTGCTGGAACAAAACACACAGCACACACTTAGAAATGTGTAGCATTAACACTGAGAATTAGAGCTTTTACAATCTCTAGTTGCTAAGACTGCTTAACCGAAAAAGCATGTTAAAGGTGTAAGATTTTTCCATTAAATTTCTCTGCTTATATTTTATTTTCATGCACAAGCAGTGGGTATTCAGAAAGCAATTCTTTTTCATGACTGTGAATTTCAATAAAACCTTTTGAAGTACAGCAAGTTTTCTGCTACTTCAAGTTTCTTTCATTTTGAGGAGACTTTTACATTTTGAATCAGTCTGTCTCTCTCTAGTTAGATGGAGCTAGCCATTTCTCTCTCCCTTCATTGCCATGAATTATCATGGCTGGGCTTTGCGAACGAAGATTTGGGAAGGCTCTATCCACATTTGTTACAGGCACGCTGGTGGCTAATGAGGCCAATACGAGATAGACACGTCTGATTGTATGGAATTATAACTGGGCAGAAAAGGTCTTCAAGTCATCATACTATCCAACGTTACAGCAACTTCAAAAACAATGTTCAACCCATTTCACCTCTTCTAAATCTGGGACGCTCTCTCACAGTACTCTGGCAAACTTGTAGCAGTAACTTGATAGTTGTCCTAAAGTTTACTTTGGTACCTTTTGCTAACAACTTGCAGTTCACAGAAAGATTGAACATTCCTGCCTCAAGCATAGCCATATTCTGAAGCACAAGGAACACCTTCGGGGATTGCAGCAATTTTGGTTAATTAATTCATGGGTACCAATCTGTCAGTTTGCATTCACCATTACGCTTGCTTATGTGACCTCTGAGGCATTATTGCTCTCTCCAACCTCTATTACGAGAGAGTTGTTTCAAGGGACACAAGAAAAAAAGAATAATTCTAAAGCCTCACTGATTCACTGCAAGTGAGCCTAAAGCTTTGCAGAAGCTTAAAGTAAATTAGGTGGAATCTGAAATTGCTATTTTTACCTTCTTTGCTGTAGAGACCTTCACCAAATGGTTTACAATACCCACCTAAAAGGCAGTGATTCCTAGGTATTGCCTCTTCATTTGTGTTACAGTTTGGGAAACTGTAGAATAGCAGGTACTGTAGAAACCATCAGAGGACTTGTCTGAGGGAGGCTGTAAACACTTCTGAATACACAGTGAATGGTCAATATATCATTAAATTACTTAAGACAATAAAACTTTAAAAAGTGTTTATTACTGTATACTGACTAAAATACCATCTCCCTTCAAAACCCAGTGATAAGCAGCAAGGGTTATTTACATTGGCATTACTGAAGCTACACAGGATTATGTCTGCTGTAGCTCAACAGTTAAAAGAAATTTCTACCTCACCTATGAACCAAGGCAAAAGCTAGAATATTATCTTCCAATGTGACATATTTCATATCATCTGCTACTTAAGAGCCCACCTGAGTTTGAAACTATTGGTTCTGTTATCACAGTTTTCAACATCTCAGGTTTTGGTTTTTTTTAAGAAAAGAAAACCTTGTATACTGTAAGAATTAAGTTTATTTTCATTTTGCTTTAATTAAACAGAAATGCATCTCAGATTCCAATGATTCAGCTTCATCCTTACTAATTTAACAGCGAGGCGATTTTAAGTAAGGCTTCACGACTAAGATGACGAGAGGTCCTGAGAGTTGTGGCTTCCCATTTCAGTTCCCAGTATCCACGGTCTACCCACGGTCTGAAGTTACGGCAAGGACCGTCCAGGATCTAACTCACTCTACATCTGGGTTAGGATGAAACATTGTCCCGCGCACCGTTTTGCGGTCCGTGTCTCCGGCAGTCGGCTCTCTGAAGCCAGGGCGTAGCCGGGTGACAGCCCGCGGTCCGGGGGCAGGGACAGCGGGGGGGCTCCAGGCCCGGCCGGCGAACGCCGGTCTGGTTCCGGGCCCGCCGGGACGGCTCCGGGCCCGCCGGGACGGCTCCGGGCCCGCCGGGACGGCTCCGGGCCCGCCGGGACGGCTCCGGGCCCGGTTCTACCCCTTGCGCTGCTTGTGCCGGGGGTTGGTCTTGCAGTACACGTAGAGCCGCCCACGCCGCCGCACGATGAAGCAATCCTTGCAGCGCCTCTTCAGCACCGCCTTCGTCTTCAGCCCCGCCACCAGCGCCGGCAGTGGCGGCCCGGGCGGCGGGGGCACGGCCAGCAGCCCGCGGGGGGCCCAGCACGGCGTCTGGGCCCCGCTGCCCGCCGCCCGCCCCCACGGGGCCAGCGAGCAGAAGGGCGAGCGGCACAGTGAGCGCAGCGGGCCCGCGGAGGCGGCCCGGGCCAGGAGGGACAGCATGTTCCGTGCCCTGCGGGGACAGCGCGACGGTGAGGAGACCCGCCCCGATACCCCCTCCCCTCCGCGGTGCAGGCGAACACCCACCGCACGGCGCTACTCTCCCCGCGCTCACCGCCGCCACGAGTGACCCCCGCAGCCGGAAGCGCGCGCAGGGTCCGGGGAGGGGCGGGGCCAGGGCCACGCCCCGCCCGCCCGCCCGGGACTCACGTGGCTGGCGCGAAGATGGCGGCGCCCGCCGCGACCTTCCGCTGGCTGGTGCCGCGGGGCCGCCCGCTGCTGTCCAGGCCTGGGGCGGCCGCCACCGCCGCTGCTGCCGCCGCCTTTCGGCCTTATGGCGTGCGGGTCTCTGAGACCGGCGAGCTGGTGACGCACACAGGGCAGGTGAGCGCGCCGGGCCCGGTGCTGCTACCCCTCCCCTGCCCGGGGAGGGCGGCGGGCGCGCCGCGGGGAAATAGTGCCGGGGCTGCGAGCAGCGCGCTGGCATGCTGTGATGTAAAGGGGCGGCTTAGGTTGGACATTAGGAGGAATTCCTTCAGAGAAAGGGTGATTAGACATTGAAATGAGCTGCCCAGGGAGATGGTGGAGTCACTGGCGATGTTTAAGGAAAGACTGGACTTGGTGCTACGGTCTGGTTGACGCGGTGGTGTTGAGTCAGTGGTTGGACTCGATGGTCTCAGAAGTTTTTTCCGACCTGTGATTGATTCTGTGTGATTCTGTGATTCTCCGTTTAGTGGGCGCTGTGGAAATTAGTGTTCTTGGATGATACGTACGCAGGTTTCAGAAATAAAAGAAGCCAACCCTGTTTATTAGTACAGGGTCATTGGCAATTACCGGGCGTTCCGGTCTGAACCCGGCATTTGACCCAGCCGAGGAGCTGACAGGTGGGAGGTACGCTTGTGTCAGTGCTTTGTAGCTCCATTTTCTCTCTTCTCTAATGGAGAAACTGAGCGTGCGAGAGAGGGATGCTCATGTGGTGCCCTGTGGAAATGCGAGAGGGGCACGACTGGTGGATATAACGTGCGAAGGCTCTCACTGTGGTTAGTTAACGGAACATAAATAAATACAAAACTTGAATTTCCTAGTTTGGTTTGCTTTCTAGATGACAGTGGGAGATCAAGGAAAGGCATTGTGAGTAATAAATCTGTGTTCACCTTTATGATCAGAACTAAGGCCTCTGTTTACTGGCTTTCATGGCACACCCCCATACCAGCAGTTTCCTTTTCTTTTCTGCTTTATAACGTGGAATTTATTTTCTTGTGTGAGAGAAATGGAAACTACTTTTCCTATGTAGTACATACTTGTAAGATGACGATAATACTTGAAATCAGGGAAGCAGTTCAAACTGTTTATTCTGTAAGCCTTTGTGTTCTTTGTTTATAGTAGTTGCTATTTAAATAAGATCAAGTTTATTTTATGTTCTAGGTATACGATGAGAAGGATTATAGAAGAGTTAGATTTGTTGGACGACAAAAGGAGGTAACTCATTCTTCTTTTTCTTACGGAGGAGGGGGTAGTTTGTGGTTTTTTTTCCTTTGTACCTGATAGTGATATCCTCAACCTGATTGTCATTGAAAAAACCCAAAAAACAAAAAATTGCCAAAATAACCAACAACCAAGAAACCAACCAAACCCAAAAACCCCAGCCAAAATGAAACAAACTGGTTTGGATTTTGAGTTTCAGTGTTTGGTTTTTTTTCACTACAATGAAAATTCTTTTTAAGACAGCTTATAATGTCTTCTGTCTACCTTCCTAGTTTTGACAAACTTGGAAAACTCAAGACTTGCTCTACACCTGTTAAGTGCTTGCATTTAGGTTGTTGAAGTTGTAGGCATTTGAGCATCTTAAACTCGGAACCGTTTTTGTTTAAAAAAACTTTTCGTATGTTTTTAATGTCATTGAAAAGTCTTTTAGCACTGAGTTTTCTCAAATGATCAAGCAGTACAGCTCCATCAGGGATCTCCTGGCCTTTGGGAGAGAAATAGAAATTGTTTAATCTAAATTGTATTTCTCAATTTCTGAGCCTTTGATTAGTGCTTTAGTGTTAATGCTGTAAATGTTTATGTATAGTGGAGGCATTAAATATCAGGCGTGGTAGATTTTTAATGTAGTTGCAGGTAATTATTTTCTTCTTAAATCAACCTGAACTAATTATACTGATTTCCAAGTTTTCATAATCAGTTCACCTCATTGTGTTGTGGATACAATTTAACTCATACTGTGTGACAAAAATGGGGATTCTACATGCAAAATAATTAAATGAAAATGTCAAAATGCTGAATTAGCTTACTTCTGGAAGGGTAGTTGGCAAAGGAGGTAGGTCTCTTCCAAGTGCACTGCCTGTTTCTGTGCTACTTCTGTAAGTTTGTAGGAAATGCTCCTTAAGCCTAATTCTCCACAGGGCAGGGTCCCTCTCATGTGCCTGGCCATTAGGTGATTTCAGACTCTGTGTGGTGTGGAACACCTAGGGTTTTCAGTTCAATTCAGTTCTTGGTTCTCCAGCAAAAGTCAAGCTTTAAGTCTGCTGAGCAAGGTTTAGTGCTAAGTTTTAATTGTGAAATTGGGACAAAATTTACACCTTAAATACTAAAATGATCCTCATCTTTGCTTATTAATGGGATCTTTCTGTAGGAGCTCTGCCATTGTCCCACAGTGTGTTTCAGCTGCTGGTATTAGGGTTTGACATCCGTGTCTGTAGTCTGAACGTTGTCTTGTTTCTGAAGCAAAAGCTCACCTGTGGTGCTGGTGACTTGTTCCTTCTCATCACTTCCTCTCTTTGCCTTCAGTATGGGCCAGGTGGTTGAGTCTGGCTTGTGATCGGCCCAGACCAGCCACTGGGCCCAGAAAGCCAAGGCAGCTTTCTTGTCTGGGAACACGGCCACTGGGCACCCCCAGTGGGGGGGTCTGTGCCCGTGCTGTGGTGCTTCAGGTGGCCAGGCTCAGGGGCACAGCCTACCATATGTGGTTATTGTCCCCTCAGTTCTGCCAGCCTAATTGTTTAGGAAACCCACGTGTTTTAGCTGACATCATTGCTCTCTGTGCTGGATGTGCAGAACTGGGGGATTAGTGCTTTCTGGCAAGGGCCTAAAGCAAGTAGCTTTGACAAAACCGAGCATGGCAACTGCTAAACTGCACCTGCTGCAGTTCAACTAGGACTGCCCTTCTATAACCCCTAAGGTAGCACAGGACCCAATTCAACACTGCCATCCTCACTTTGGCTCTACCCTTTCTGTTGGGCTAGTGCAGCAGCTGAAGATGTGAGGAAAACTGACCTCAGTGTTGGTCTGTTTTAAATACTCTCTCCTGCTTTCCCTCTAGGTCTTTGGACTTGAGTCAAATCCAAGTTTGGTTTTACCTCTTTGGTCTTCCTAGATCGTGTTCTGGCACAGGCAAGTAGGTGGAAAGAAACAGCAATGGAATTGTCAAACTGACACTGTGGCCAGGAAAAAAACTGCCCACTGAATTATGCATTGGGCAAGGCATATCTGGATGTGCTGAGGGAAACATCTCCTTCCTGCTAAGTACTACTGTGCTTTATTTGAAGGGACTTGATGTAACTGAAACCACTTCTTTTTTCTTGTGGTGTGTTTTCCCTGTGAATTCCTGGACTGTCTCTTGTTTAGTAGGCTGAACCACAAACAAATCAGCTATAGAGTGGTTTAGAAGTTCTTGCTTTCCCCTCTCCTCACAAATACCTTTGTGGTTAAAAAATGTTGGCAAGAGTGGAGTTCTTGCTTCTGAGCTTGAAGCAAAGGGGTATCGTGGTGCTATCTCCCTCCTTCTTTAGCACGAAATCAAAGATGCACATTTTTGAGCGTTATTAAAAACAGCAGTAAAAGCCCTTGCCGTTTGGCAGAAGTTACATATGACTTGTTGACACAGGCCCCAGGCAGTGGGGTTCTTGATGTTGCGAATTGTTTCAATACCAAAACTTAATTTTTTGTTAACTTTTTTAAGCTATCATCTTTTGGTAAAGACAAATTTTTTGTTGGCAAAAGTGACTTTTCCATTTCTGTACCAAAAATGCAGATTTTGGGGAGACTTCATTGGAGACTTGGTGAAAGATAGTACATAAGAATACCATTGTAGTTCTTAAGGATTCATATGATGGATGTGTAGCTACCTGTTTCCCAAGAATTTCATCCTCATTCAAATACCAGCATGTTTATGAGCCTTATACACAGAGCAGTGGATAGTGCCTTCTTTGGGTGTACATATTATTTGATATTCATGTGTGTATGACATCACCTTTGAAAAAGCTGGCCCCTCCTGGAGTATTTTTACCTGAGCTGTGGTAGTAGTTGTCTACTCAGTGCTTATTTGGAGTCTATTGGAGTGCTGTAGTTCCTGCTGAGGCAAAAGTTGCCAGCCTGTCCAGGGATGGATATGTTTGCCAGGCCATGCAGGTGTGGTCTAGGAATAAGCCCTACTTGTCAGTGATGTGCATATTCAGGAAGTGAATATGATGGATTTACAGAGTGGCGTAGTGACATTTAGAGACTTTTCTTTTTTCTAATGATGAACAATTTGTCTTTCTGACTTGTTTTTATACACCGCATTCATGTTTTTGTGAGATTCTTGTGTGTGATAAAATAAAGTGTGTGGTTAGAGACTCTAAATTACCGGCAGTTGTTTTATCTCATGCCTGACCTTACTTGTCTCACTATTATTTTTGAGTTTATCAGCAGTGATTTTGCAGTTCTATCATGTAGTCACTAAAGCAGAATACAGAGGCATTGTTGGTTAAATATCTTCTGTTCTTGTCTGCTTGTTCCTGCTCACCTCTCTGCTGAATCTGCTTGAGTCACATAAACCCAAGCACTGACGTGACCTGTCTTATCAGGGGAAGGGGATTACTTTTTTACAGTTTAGCGTGTAGTTCATTGATCTGGCTTATGGCACAGAGTTGGTGGAGAAGATGGAAGAAAGCCTGTGCAGTAACTTCTCACAGTGGCTGTAGTGGAACTGCTTGGGAGGCAGCAAATAGAAATTGCTTTCTGTTTGACTGGGGAAGGCATCTGAAAGTTTCCCTCTTTTTCTTACAGGTGAACAAGAATTTTGCAATTGATTTGATAGCAGAGCAGCCTGTGAGTGAAGTTGAAAGCAGAGTGATATCATGCGACGGTGGTGGTGGAGCTTTGGGACATCCTAAAGTATACATCAACTTGGTAATATCATTATTCTGCCTATAGCATATTTTGCTTGTAAATTGTTTGTAAGATTATCTACTTTTTGTCATGTTAGTTTAACCAAGTAAAAATTTAACCAAGTAAAAGGAGTAACCCCTTGAAGTGCTTTTTTTATTTGTTGCCTAATATAAAATAGGAAGAATTAGAAGGCTCTTATTTGAAGTCACGGAAATTTCTTTTTGAAATTTTGATTAATAGGACAATATTTTTTAAAAAAAGAAATTAAGTGAAGTAGTAAGAACAAGCAGTGCCTTGAGACCAAGGAAATAATATTCTCGCTGTGTTTTGAGACTCTAATTATTTAAATGCCACCATGTAGACTGACAATGCATTTGCAGTATTCTTAGGAATATGCAGTTTGTTTTGAATTTTGAGAGTTAAGGGAAAAAAGGAGAAAACCAACCAAATAAACCCCTCTTTCAGCCTTTGGGAATCTTGATAGTTTTGAAGGTTGAATGTTTCAATCATAGACAGAGAGTCAATGAAAAATAATTGTTGTATTGTCCTCCTATTGACTGTAGTGATTATTTCCAGTGTATTCTTGTTCTAGAGAGTAAAAATACTGAGGCTACTGTTATATGACCTTAGTGGAATCAGCGATGATGACCTGTTTCTTAAGTACTGTTCTCAGGCAGACTATGATTGCAAAAGTCTTTAAATCTCTGCTTGCTTTGACATTTTCTTATTGCCCAAAAGAGCGATAGGGGAGAGCTGGTGTCCTTTAGTGTTGTTGTGACTCCTAACTATAACCACAAGCATTTTTATTTTGAAAAAAGAACTTTGTAATGATTCATTTGACATTATTCAAAGTCAAATGCTGGGAGGTTCTGATTTGTAACACTTAGGAAACTTCAGCCTTAACTTGTGAAATGTTCTCCTGCCTTAACTTGTGTAGCACACTAATGTTGAGTTGCATTTATGTTGATTTGTTTGACCTGTACCACACTCTTCTTGAAGAATGCTTTAGTTTGTTGTGAATTTTGAGGTCTTTTTTGTGTTAATAATCAAATTACAAGATGTCTGATTTAGATCTTGAAAGCTAAAATCTGCAAACAGAGAGAATGGTTTTAGATCAGCTTGTTTCCCCTACTCCTGACAACTGAAATCTAGGCTTTTGGGAGTGGAGGGTAGTTTGGATTATTGGCTTTGAATCTTGTAATAACTAATAATAATGAATCTTGTAATTGACTGCAAGTAGTTGTGTTGCTAAATAACAGAAGACTCCTGAGTATTTAACTGTCTTGTATTGTATCTTTTGGAGAAAATAATAAAATTTTATACAGCAGTAACTACTCCTTTTCTCTAAAATATTTTCTTTCAGCATTTCTGATGGATTTCTACTGAAATTTTCCTCCTTCCTGTAGTGAACAATAACTCTGTTACTTACCAAAATTCCTGTCTTGGAAATGCCAAATCCTATTCTATATTAAAATAATTATGAAGTGATCTTTTCAGAACATTGAAACAGATATAACTGAACTAGCTTAAGGTGTCCAGTTTGGAAAGAGGATCCTTTATTGCTGAAGAGATGTCATTTGGCTTGACTTTTATATTGTCGAAATTAGGCCTGGTAGTTGAAAGTGTGGCAGGAGAGCTGCATAGGATATAGAAATAAAGCATGAACCTCATACCATAATTTTTTCTTCCAGTATTTCAAATAAGATTAAACTCAGTACTTCAGCTATACTGATCAGTTTTAAGATAGCACAAATAAATAAGACAATAATTGTAATTTCTAAAAGTTTTATAAAGTGAAAATAGCAGCTGTTTCATTTTTATATTTTTGCAGGACAAAGATACAAAGACTGGAACATGTGGCTACTGTGGACTTCAGTTTAAACAGAAACATCACTGAAAGATCATCCCTGCATGATTGCCAATTTCTGTTCAGATGTTAACGTTCAACTATAAATAAACAATATATTTAGAAAGCCAAGATTAGCATTTGTGTTTATCTTAACTATGGAAAGTCCAGTCTGTACCTTTTTAAAACCCAGGCTTGTCAAGTATTCCGGAGCTGAATGGTATTACAGTATCTGCTTTGCACTTAATTTGGTCTTTGTGTTTGACAGACTTCTCGCAGGCTTGGAAGTGGTGTTTGGCTGCAGCATGGGTTTGGTTTGTACTGGGTAGATATGTATTCTTTGCAATAGTGAATTGGATGTAACTGTTTACTAGGTGATTAATTATCCTAGGTGTTTGTCTTTTGGCATTGTGTGAACTCTAGTGGGTTGACCCTGGCTGGATACCGGGCACCCACCGAAGCTTCTCTATCACTCCCCTCCACAAGTGGACAGGGGGAAGAAAATATAACCAAGGGTTCATGGTTCAAGATAAAGTTTGGGAGAGATCACTCACCAAATACCATCAAGGGCAAAACAGACTCGACTGGGGACATGAATTGAATTTATTGCTAACAAAATCAGAGCAGAATAATGAGCAGTAAAATAAATCTTAAAAACACCTTTTCCCCCACCCCTCCCTCCTTCCCAAGCCCTACATCCTCCCCCACTGTGGCACAGGGAGATGGGGAATTGGGCTGTGGTCAGTTCATCATAGGTTATTCCCACCATCACTCAGGGAGAAGAGTCCCCTGCTCCAGCATGGGGTGCCTCCCTTGAGAGACAGTCCTCCATGAACTTCTCCAGTGTGAGTCTATCCTACAGGCAACAGTTCTCCACAAACAGCTTCAATGTGGGTCACTACCATGGAGTGCAGTCCTTCAGGAACAGGCTGCTCCAATGTGGGTCCCCCAGAGGGTCACAAGTCCCACCAATAAACCTGCTCCAGCATGGGCTCCTCTCTTCATGGATCTGCAGGTCTCTGCCAGGACCCTGGTCCAGCATGGGTTTCCCATGGGTTCACAGCCCTCTCTCAGGCATCCACCTGCTCTGGTGTGGGTCTCCTCCATGGGCTGCAAGTGGATCTCTGCACCCCTGTACACCTCCATGAGCACAGCTACCTCACCATGGTCTGCACTACAGGCTGCAGGGGAATCTCAGCTCTAGCACCTGGAGCACCTCCTCCCCTTCATTCTCCACTGATCTTGATGTCTGCAGAGCTGTTCCTCTCTGCTGTTTGGTCATAGTTACATCTGCACAATAATTTTTTTTTTTTTCCCCTTCTTAAATATGTTATCATAGAGGCACTACCACCATTTCTGATTGGTTCGGCCTTGGCTAGCAGCACCTCCATCTTGGAGCTGGCTGGCATTGGCTCTATCAGACATGGAGGAAGCTTCCAATAGCTTGTCACAGAAGCCACCCCTGTAGCCCCATCCACTCTACCAAAACCTGGCCATGCAAACCCACTACAGTGACACTCTCTTAATTTGTTCATGGCCTAGTACCTATAGCTAGATTTACAAATGGAAGCGCAAAGATAATATCTTCAGCATTACAACACTCACTCCTGCAAGCAAGATTGTCAGCCCTTAATTAAGTAGTTGCACTTGCTACTTGTTTAAAAGAAACTGCCAGTGCCTAGAATGGTAATCAGTGTGAGCTGGAGAACTGCCTAAGCTGGCACATGTGAAGGTGAGGACATAAACATTTGCCCTTCAGCCGAGAGGATGAAGGTGTATCTGATTCTGCTTGGGATTTACACCCTTGAAACCTCTTTAGGAACTGGGTCTTGTCAGACTCAAAGTAGGCATTGGTCCATTACAGGTAGCAATTTATGCTCCTTTAATACAGGTAATCTGACACTGAGAGCATCCACCTATGGGTAACACCACCCAGGCTGTGTAAGGCCAGTTGTGGGATATCATTTACCTACTTGCTTAATTTCACTTGGGTAGCATTCCATCACGTAAACATGACTTTGAAACAAGGCTTCTGCCTGAAGAGTCCAAGTTTTGTTTGGTCTTTGCTCCAGAGACCACTTTAATCTGTTGTGAGTAAATTGCTTGTCTTTTAAATGCTGGTGATGGAACATGGTCCCAGGTAGTAATTGTGGCATGGCTAAAGTTTAACAGGACAGGATTCTAAACCTGCTGTTCGTATCACTGTAGTTAAATTGATATGGTAGTATCAAGTTGAATCATGTGGGCCTAAAGTTGTTTAACTTGCTTATGTCAATTTATAGATGAAGTTGAACCAACTCAGACTTAAAGCTTAAAGCGCGGTCTGAACTATTCTGTCTGTAGAAGTCATGTTTGGAGGCTATATTGCATGTGAGTAATTGCATGGACACCCTTCCTCTTTATTCATTCACTCCACCTACAAGAGCTTAACCTCCCTTTCTGTCTCTTCCCCTTTTTCCTCCTTCCTTCTGTTTTTCACCTTTCCATTGCTGCTGGTTTCAGTGATCATCTGTCTGGCCTTCAATTCGTACTTTGTAATGACCTAGATTTAGGAAGTAATAGTTAGAGTTATGCATTGTAATGCTTTGCTATGCAGTGTGGGTTACTGAGCACTGACCTTTCTATAAGACCTGGATCTGTTATGATGGTTGTAATTTTGTGATATTAGTGCAGTGACTAAGTTAGTGTGTGTTATATTTTGAGTAGCACCTGAGCTCGTACAAAGATGGCAAAGGACCGTTCCATGAAATCCAGTAACTTGCATTCAGCCTATCTGACCTTATGCAAATTATCTGTCAACTGAGCATAAATATGACGTTATGAATGGTCTTCTGATACGTCCATCTCATGCTCTAAATATAAAATAATTACTTGGAGTAGCCTTGTCTGTTTTTAAGCATAAATCTGGTTGTATTTTAGTCTGGCTCTCTACCAGTTTGTAGAACATCTTGGCTTGCAGAGTTCTCTCATGTTGCAATCACCTCTGCAAAGAGACCTGAAACAAGTAATTTTATGTGGTCCTCTTTCTTGGATCTTTGATGTTCTTATGAATAATATATCTGCTTGGATCATTGCTGCTCATAATAAATTAACAATGTTTAAATTGGCATGGCATCTGCTGAGGACCCAGACAAATCCCATCCCACTGGTCTGAACTATGGCATGCTGTTCTTGGATGTTCTCCCTAAAGTACTTGTGATATGTGAAGCTGTTGACACCAGTGATACAAAGAAGGTCCAGTGATCTTCATAGGAAGACTTTAGATTTTGCTTCTTATAATTTTCTGCGGGCTAAATTCATGTACCTACTTGGGAATAGCTGTTTATATGAAGTCTGGCACTTTCAGCTACACCATCCACTTACCTATGGAAAAGCCAACCTTGATTTGCAGGAAAAAGAAGTGGGAAAAAGCAGAAACTTTTACTGTCATTGCCACAAGCGGCTGCATGTGGAAATGGATCTATGAGGACAGACTAACATCAGTATCAAAGTAAGATAGACTAAACCAGATAAGTAGCAAAGCAGCGTTACAGTTCTCAGGCCACCAATTCAGCCTTGAAACCAGTGTGAAATAAAACTTTCAGACTTAGATTCTATCAGTCACTGTTTTGTTCCTCACAGATAATTCATCCCAGGCTGAAACTATAGTCTCTTGGAGTACAAACCATAGTTCATACTCTGTCACTATGAAAATGTGAAGTATTCTACACTAATGTGTAGACTGTCTTAAAAACTTTATCCTGCCTTTACCTAGTAAAACCAGGTAGACTTCCTTCCCCTTACTACTGCATACATTAAGCTTGGTGAAAATCACTGTGTATTTATACTTCCAGAATAAATAAGGACCATCCATCCTTTCTCTCACATTACTTGGTAGTCTGTCCTCTAAGTAAAAAGTAACTAAAAGGAATTCACAAGGCAAGTTCTGTTTGTTCACAACAGCACATATCATTACTATGACTATGGCACAATATGCAAAGGCACCTTTTCTAAAACTTGTCAGTCGTGTGGCATCTGATTGTGCTCTGGAAGTTGATCTTATAACAGGCTTCTCCAAATCACGAAGTAGCATCCCTAAACTTCTTACTCTCTGACCTGCCAGTAATACTTGGCCTTTTTAATTAATGGTCTTGGAAGTATCAGACAAAGTACAGCATACTGTAATAGCAATATAAATGTTTGGTTCTGTAATATCCACATTGTTGGCATTGTGTAGTGTGTTCCCTGTTAGTGGTATACATTGTTTTGAGAGGCAATGCAATCTTTCCATGGTGGTCTCCAGCTGTGTAATCTAAGTTTAAAGTCAGGAATCCTTGAGAAGCAAATCTGACAAATTCAGTCTTGCCAATGGAATATATAGATTGGGGGGAAATGACCCTGAATTCACCTTGTCATAAAATTCATGGCACAAATTATCATGGGTTTTCCTCTCCAGGTCTCCATCAGGACTTGTGTAACTAGGGGGAAATGGCAGTTTCAGTTTTCATTGTCGGAGGCAATACAGTAGACCAAAAGAAGTAGAATTACCTACATAACAGGTATTGTTGCTGTAAATGCCACTGTGATGCAGATGATCATCTTTTATTTTTGTCAAGCACTGTCCAATTTTAACAGCATATGCAACAAGATATACCTTGAAGACCTTGCATGCCCATGCCTTCAGTCCATGCTTTCCAGATCCCAAAGCTTTTTCTGCTGACTAATTGCAGTGTAGGATTTAAATGGAACGTAATTATCAGTTTTTTCATGTACAAAGCAGCTCATGGAGCTCAGGTGTGTTTGAGATATGGTGAATTTAACTGACATTACAGGAACTTATTTTCTACACCTGGAAGTTAGGCAGCCATTACTGATTATTCCTGGTTCGCATTGCTATTCATCACCATCCAAATCCCACAGTATTCAGGTGTCAAAAGTTGAACTGAGAAAGCAAATACTGCCATATGAAAGAACAGATCACGGAATTGCTACAGAGGAATCAGGAATGTAATCTGTACAATATGGGAAAGATGTGATGGAGCACTGGGAACATTGCCTTAAAAGCACCTCTCATTTATTTAAAGGGTCTGTTAGTGTCCCTCGATGTGATACAAATGCTGTGAGAATATGCATCACAGCAGTTATCCATGCAT